CCATCTTTTATTCAGTGAGTACTTTTCTCCCATTGAATATAGTAACTCTTGATTGAACTAATCAGTCACCACAGAAACCATACCAAGCTCTGATAAGTACCCTCCACTTTCAAAACATGTACACAGTTCAGAAGTCAGTAACTTGGAGAACTTCAGTATCTGTTTTAAAAGCTACCATAATTGGGGGGGGAAGGGGGTGGTGAAATGTGAAGGTTTCAAAACCAGGCATACAAACTCAGAATCCCCCTCCCCCATAACTAGATAATATGCAGACAATACCTACCTTTTTACTTTGCATTTTCCAAATGTATATACGCATGCTTATGCACACTACCCTGTATTTGCTTTCAACTCAAATGTAGAGCTTTTGTATTTTAGTACATAGTGTGTCAAAATAAAAAATAAAGGTAATTTTGCCTGAACATGGAAGACTATCTAAAATAGTAATAAATGTGAACTTCAAGCTTCTTTGGTTTGGCCACGTCTTTTAACAAAGGAGCAAAATAATTGAAGATGCTGTTAATGCAATATTTGATTAAGCTTCCTATGGCTACTTCTCCTGCAAGACAAAAGAATGATCCATTCGACAGTGGATCATATTTTTTTCCCCAGGAACAAGAGTTTTTAGGCTACAAAATCAGATTAGCCAAAACAGGCAAAATTTCAATATAACTGACAGGGCACTGGTGACTCTTAGCTACATTCCACACCACAGCCCAATTGTGTTGATGAGAATTTGCAAAGGTGGGAACAGCCACAGTATCACACAAGTAGGCAAATTAAAATAATGAGTCAACACTGACCCTGAAAAAAATCCTTCCTTTTCATTTCTGCCAGATATAAACAAACATTTCACTTATACACAGACATACTGTAGGCAGGCAGTAGCTGTTAGTGTAACCACTGTCATATATAAGACCAACTAGGATGAACACTGAGACATTTAAATTGCATGTGTACCAACTGCAGTTAAGAAAACAATGTTTAAAACAAATTAATGAAATTTTTTTTTAAATCTTTGTTTGAAAAAATTAGTTTTCTGACAAGTTGTGTAATTTACAGTAGGCAATACTGAGAGCAGAAGCTATTATGAAACACAAAATTTTTGCTTCAGGTCTTTAATAGTAAGATATGTACGTGCATAGAAAAGTAAATACATATAACATGCATGTATATCACCATAAAAGAGCTTACAGTTCTTTGTGCTTCTCCTCTGCCAAAATTTGGTCATTTGGCTTCAGCCCATACCTTGAAAAAAAGAACGACAAAACACAAAGCAGTTACACCTTTGAGAACATAGCCATCAAATGTAGTTTTATAGTTTCAAACTGGCAAATTATTAAACTATGTAATATTTGTTGATTCAAATACTTCAGGTATTGCAAAGACAGCAAAGCTTTCTAAAAAAAATCATTAAATGTTTATTAAAGTAAAAACATCACACACAACTTTTGCTTCATACCGCAGCTTCAAATTATACCAGATACTTTGGCTTGCTACATATCCAAAATCATTGCACTTCATACCATAAACTGTACATTGATCTTATAATTTGGATCTGACAAAACATGACAGTGCAGAATACAATGCGAACACTGAAACTGCCAGTACTGTTTCCCTCTGCAACAAATAAAACTATTCTAATCAATACCAAAAGCATTCTACAGAAAAAAAATATACTTTAACAACAGGCTGTTTAGGAAAATTTCTGCAGTCCATACAGTCAACCTCCAAAGAAAGCGAGAGCTTGAGAGAAAGAAACCTCCTTTGCTAGCTTAACCTAATAGGCAATTTAACAGAATAGGTTGCCTACACTGTCTGAATCAGAGGGAAAAAGGAACCCAGTCTCCCACAGTCATGCCGCAGGCTGCACTGTCAGTCACTTTGGAAAACCTTTAAGAAGTGACCTCACTTTTGTTGTGCCTCAGAGGAAAATCTTTTGCCATCTCAAAATACTCCACAAATCTAACTGCTATGGTTTTCTGGGGGGCTTGGGGGGTTTTTTTGGTGATGGGTTTTGGTTTTTTTTTTTAGTTGATTGGTTTGTAAGACAGTCATACATAATGTAAGCAGCTCAAAGTCAAGTGTCCATTTGATAATTCTGCTAACTGCTAGCTGCTCACACTGCAGAAGGTTCCCACTGTCCTGTTGCCCTCTGTTTTTGTTCTTTGCTCCAGTCAACTGCAAAACCATAAATTACCCCTCCCGAGGAAAGACTGGTCACCAACCAACTATACAATCAAGCTATCTTGCAAACTGACTTTTGTGTCAAATGAACAGATAAAATCTATGCTCTCTATTCCTTATAGCATTTTCTGATGATACTTTTTAAGCATCCATTTAAAATGCCAGCATCAACCCTGGACACATTCTCAAGCTCACTAGTGCTGCATTCAAACATGAAAGACACTGACCCGTTTTTTCTTGTTTACATATGCAGAGACTGCCTTAGGTTATTTGCCATAGTATCACACTGACTTGCATCCATTTATCCACTGTGCTGCTAAATCCTCCATGGAGTCACTTCTAATCAGGATACAATGTGGTCCATCCACTTTCTCCTTCTAAATGCAGGGTTTGCATTTGACTCTTATAGCAAGCAGACTATACTGTAACACCCTGTTCAATAACAGATTCAGGTCACTTGGTTTAACTGGCAAGTCTTCTTCAAAGTTTACCATCCTATCAGTAACTTTAAGCCACAAATTTTAACTGTTACATTTACTTCCAAATCAGTGTTTTCTGTAGTAAACAGTATAAGGCTCTTTCTTTAATGAAAAAGGGTCTAGCCCAATACCAGTCTCTTCCTAATGCTGCTACACCTCCCTGATATCTCCATTTGTCATGTCTTAATAAGCATTTTATGGATAGCAAATACTTACTTTTATGTCAGAGAAAAAGCAAAGAGCTACCAGGAAATTCTAAAAGAAACATCTTTCAGAAGTAAAAGGACACTAACTCTTCTTACGCAACTTGCAATCTTACTTAAAATGAAATCAGTCACTTGTTAAAAGGCTCTGCCTGTCATAGACAGATATTCCCTTGGCTAATATGCAATCCATTTTGTAAATGGAGATCATTTTGCCCATTAAAAAAAATATACCTGCATAAAGTCACAACCATTCTTCACTAAAAATAACACTGCATGCTTTTCCTCTGACCAGTAATCAGACTACTTCAGCTAGAACCAAATACAATTTTATCTGCTGAAGATACAGGAATACCATCTATAGTTGAGCTTCTTAAAGCTTCCAGATTCCTCGTTCCTCCACTCTTTTTTTTAAAAACACAATTTAACCCCCACAGTTATTTAGAGGAAATAACCCAAATAAAACCCTTCACTACTTACTCAGACCACTAAGTCAGCTACAACAGAAACTGTGTAACCTAGTGGGAATGCTGTTTAACAGATGTGTGATTTTCGCTTCAGTTATGTTACTGACATACCACAGAGGGGTGCAGGAGAGACACAGTTGCTACCCCTGAATTTGCAGAATGGTTCCTTTGGTAAACCTTAGCTTACCTAATCTTTTTCACCACTACCTCCCTCTTTCACCATGAAAATGGCATTTTTCAAATATTCTTCCCTGACCCCTAAAGATATTGCTTTGACAGCAACTTGTCAAAGAAAGTTTCCCACAAACGGACATGCTTGCAGAGTTCAACTTTTATTAGTACTTAATGCATTAAGACAGGATGCATATTATATTTCATACACAGCTGCTGAAGTATTTAATAAATTTAAATGTGCAACTAGCACAGTGAACAGCTTACATAATATTTCCCAACATGTGTTTCATAGGCAAGATTGATAAACACCAGTTGGCTCTTCCTAACTGAGGAAGGTTAGATTTGGGAGAATTTATCTAAAAAACATTTTAGGAGCCAAGGATACTAAATGCAAAATTGAAGCTAAAGATATGAAGTCGAAAAATTTAAAATAAGGACATTTAAAACTATCTAAGCAACTAGAACAACATACTGTACATGTATTATACATGTACTTGCCTGGTATTAAACTACTAAATATGCTATGGAAATGAGCAAAGGAACTGAAGGACCACAACTTCATTTTTTCCTCTATTTTCTGCCCTGTGAAATTCAAAGTTGAACACATCCTAGCACATTAAATAATGATTATTCTTTTCAACTACCAAGTACCAAACTGTGACACAGTGTCAAAATGTTCATAGTCTCTTCATCACTGCTCAAGATCCCATTTCAAAAAAGGGACCTAAGAATAAAAATATGCAAGGGTCTACAGAAAGATCATTGCTAAGTGTCAAAACAAACTGTAGTACATTTAAAAAATTATACATTTAAACACTTTGATATGTCCTTCACAGACATTTAATCTACTGGAAGAGTAGCCAATGTTCCAGCCACCCCCTTCACAATGGCAGCTGCACACAATCGGACAGATAATGTGCCACAACTGCAGCAACTACCACACTGCACAGTTGCATATTGCCACCAAACCAGTGCAGCTGCCTGCCCAGATACACACACCCCAGCCTCTGAGCATCTCTGCTGATGACTTCTGACAGTCTGATAGGCTGATTGTACCCTGGGTAGAACTTCCACTTTTGGAAGACAGCAGCTTTCTCCCCAAACTCAGTTCCTTATGGAATTTCTTAAGCCACAACATTCTTAGTCTAACCTCTAGATGTCATCGTACCGTCATCACTCCAACATACCCCATTCTGCTCAAAGCTCAAGTGACATAGCTGCAGAGAGGAGCTAACAGAGATCGTTATTCTATCATCCATCTTCTAATTGCAGTTTAAATGCGAGGTTTCACACTGCTATTTCAATGTTGAGACAGTTTTTTTAAAACAGTATTCTTTCCAACCTGGTTACAAAAAGGCATGTTTATGCATTTAACTTACCAGGACAAACAAGAAAGCTAATCCCCTAGGTTTCATCAAGAAACAAAGACCCAACTCCAATTCACACTCTGCAAAAGCATCTCTTTGTCCTTTGACTACAACAGGGCATAGTGATACAGGATGTCTAAAGTTAGCCTGCTGAGCAAGATGATTTGAAGGCCTCCCATTAGTCCCCAACTCCATAACTTCAGAACATTAACAAACTGGAGATATATTTCAATGCGAAAATCTTGAACTACTTAATTGTAATTATCAAGGATGTTTTTCCACTTCCCAACCTCTCAATCTTTTTTCCTCATTTGTTTACTGTAACCAAGTAAGTCTACCAGAACTCACATCTGAACTTCATGTTATTTTCTTCCTTCCTAATTGGTATGTTTCCAGAACCAAATTTTATGTACATGCAGATACAGAGATAATATCAAGCTTAGCCCCCTAAAACATTAATTATAAACTCAAAACTACATTAATCTTAAATAGTTTCCCTTTCCACAAGCCTGAAAATAAAGTAGCACAGACCCAGACTAAAAGATTATTGCAGGTATTCTGAGGACAGATATTATACAGAGCCAAAATGGTGTTAAGGAAATTTGGCTCTACGTACAGCTGAATATACTCCATCAAAAAAATGCCAAGGCCACTTGGAAGAGTTTTACTGTGCATAACAGCTAGAGGTACAACTCTGACCTACACATTCTATTTGGTTATGGTGCTACAAAGGAAAAAACAAATGATGAAGGCAGCATACTCTTCTCCTCTTGCATGTATATGACTTCCCTAGCATTCACCTACAAGTTTATCATCTCAATTCCAATTTTTGCAGAAGTGTAACATTTTTATTAAATGTCTGCTTTTCATTTTTAAAGCACACTAGAACCTGTATGTTCAGCTCTGACTTGTGCAATGCATTTTAAAGATCCTTCTGAAATGGTAATCCTACGACTCAACGCTTTCTCATTTCCCAACTCCTAATATGAGAGAGTATGAAAATTAATGTGCTTGGACTGCAGTCAGCATTTTTACAATAATGCTCTTAATGTAACAAACAGTCATAAGGCATGGTTCCCTTCAGGCAGGATCCAATTTTACAAAGCCTTAACCAAATTAAAAAGAAAACACAGCCTACATTAAATATGTACTAGTGGAAAAACTCCAAATGAATATCCAGCTTAGATCTGCTCTATGAACAAGAGTTTCCTGAAAAGCTGGTAAGACTCACCTGTCCTAAGGCCCAAAATAAAAACTGGTGATGAGCAAACAGGTTTAAAAAATGGCAATAGATCTTCATAGCTTCAAACTTAATTCACCTTTCAAAATTTCTGACTTTAATCCATCAACCCAAGCAAAAACTTACATAGA